GAACAGCAACAACAACATCATGATGTTGCCTACAGGTCCAGTGATGAGAATTTTTGTTTTCTTGAAATAAAGACGCAATACATTTTGAAGGCTGCAGTGTTTGATCTTCTGCATCAAGTGCTTCAACTTCTCTTCACTTTCAGCAAGTAAAATTGTGTCATCTAAATGAGGGAATCGTAAAATAAAAGACATACATTTTGCTGTCTTCAGGATAATAAATTATGCTTAAAGGTCAAGTCATAAATGAGATTGTATTTTAAGGGGGAATACAGAGAGTGAGAAGAGGCCAAAAGAGTACTTATAAAACAAAAAGGAAACTAGGTTACTCTGTTGTTGTTATTAGATGTCACAGAGTCAACTCCAACTCACAGTATTCTATAAACAACAGATCAGAACTTTGCCCTGTCCTGTGCTCTCCTATCTCCACCATACTCAAGGTCATGATTGTAGCCACTGTACTAATTTTTCTCATTGAGAGTTTTCCTCTCTTTTGCTACTTTTCCAAGCACAATTCTTTTTCCAAGGACTGGCACTTCCTGACAACACTCCCAAAGTATGTAGGAGAGGTCTCACCATCTTTGCCTATAAGGAGTACCTTGGTTGTGCTTCTTCCAAGATATTTGTTCTTTTGGCAGTCCATGGTATATATATTCAGTGTTCTCCAAGACCACAATTCAAAGAAATAAATTTTTCATCAGTCAACCTTATTCACTATGCAGCCTTAACATTTCGTATTTATTTTTCAACTTTCATATGGAGCAATTGAAAATACCATGACTTAGGTTGGATGCACTTTAATCTTTAAATGGACATCATTGCTCTTTAACAAAGAGGTCCTTCACAGCAGTTTTCTCTAAGTAAGGCATCATTTTATTTCTTCTCAGAGTCAGTTATAGCTTGTTGTGATCCACACAGTAAAAAGCCTTTGCATAGTCAATGAAGCAGAGATAGACATTCTTTTGGTATTCTCTGCATTCTGCCATCTTACATCAGCTCTAATATCCCTTGTACCAGGACCTCTTCTAAATCCAGCTTGCACATCTGGCAGTTCTCTGTTGCCATATTGTTCCAAACATTTTTGGATAATTTTCAGCAGAATCTTGCTTGCATGTGGTATCAGTGATATTGTTCAATAATTTCCACACTCTGTTGGGTCACCTTTCTTTGGAATGGGAACAAATATCTATCACTTACAGTTAGTTGGCCAGTTGGCTGTCCTCCAGATTTCCTGGCCCAACTTAGTGAGCACATCCAGGGAAGCATCTGTTTGTTGAAATAAATCAATTGGTATGCTGTCAACTCCTGGAGCCTTGTTTTTTGCCAATTCCTTCAGAGCAACTTGAACTTCCTCCTTCATCACCATAGGCTCTTGCTCATATGTTATTTCATGAAATTCCTCTGTGTCAGCCAATTCCTTCTGATACAGTGACCCTGTGTATTCCTTCCATCTTCTTTTGATACTTCCTGGATCATTTAACATTCTACCTAAACTATCCTTAAGTATTGCCACCCATGGCTTGAATTTGTTTTTCAACTCCTTCAGCTTAAGAAACGCTGAGAGAGTCCGGCCCTTTTGATTTTCTGACTCCAGCTCTCTGCACATTTCATTATAGTATCTTGCTTTGTCATCCCGAGCTGCCTTTTGAAATTTTCTGTTCAGATCTTTGATTTCTTGGTTTCTTCCTTTAGCTTTGGCTTCTCGGCACTCTAATGCAATACTCAGAGTCTCATCTGACATCCAACTTGGTCTTTTCTTCTTCTGCAGCCTTTGTAATGATCTTTTGCATTCTTCATGGACAATTTTCTTGATATCCTCCCAGAGCTCATTTGGTCTATGCTCATTAGTGCTCAAGGCCTCAAACCTGTTCCTGAGACAGTTTTGAAATGCGAGTGGGACAGACTTAAGGTCAAATCTTGGTTCCCGTGGATTTGATTTAACTTTCCTCAACTTCAGCTTGAACTTGCATATGAGTAGTTGGTGGTGTGTCCCACAATCAGCACCTGGCCTGGTTTTCACTGCTGATATTGAGCTTCTCCAAGGAGTCTTTCCACAAATGTAATCTATTTGGTTCCTTTGCATACCATCAGGTGAGATCCATGTTATAGCCTGCGTTTATGTTTCTTATAAAAGGTATTTGCAATGAATAAATCATTGAATGTGCAGAACTCATTCTATCTCCAGCCTAATTTCTCTCACCAAGCCCGCATTTTCCAGCTACTGATCCTTCTTCCCTGTTCTCAACTTTTGCATTCCAGTTGCCCATTATTATTAATGCATCTTGACTGAAAGTTTCATCAATTTCTGACTGCAAAAGTTGTTAGAAATCTTCTATTTCCTCCTTTTTGGCTCTAGTTGTTGGTGCATATATTTGAATAGTGGTATTCACTGGACTTCCTTGTATCTCTATGGTATTATCCTGTCACTCACCACATTGTATTTCAAGATAGATCTAGAAATGACTTTTTTTTATTATGAAACCAAACCCATTTTTTCTCGCCTTTTAATTCCCGGCATAGTAAATCATATGATCATCTGATTCAAAATGCCCCATGCCAAGCCATCTCATTTCGCCAATACCTAGTATGTCAATATTTATGCATTCCATTTCTTTCTTAATAATGTCCAATTTTCCTACATTCAAGCTTCTCACATTCCACGTTCCAATCACTAGTGTCTCCTTACAGCTGTTCCTCTTTCTCTGTGTTTCCATTTCTAAGGTATATCATTACCAAATTTATTTCCCAGTCTGTGGCATTCTTTTTTACCCTGTTGGAGAAGTTTTTGTTGTGCCTTGGAACTTGATTCTTAGATGGTCCCATTCATCTGTTTTGTTCTTTCCTGGTTGTAGGTTTTTCATTATGCTTGGAAGACTGTTTATGTTGTAGATTAGGGTTTCTAGAGTTCTTCCAAGCTTTCCTCTGATTAAGTTTCTTAAAGTTTTATGTTTTCTAACTTTACATAGAAATATCTTCTGTGTCTCCTCATTGTAATAGGTTTTTGATCATAAAAAGGGGTCAGAACAAAGAAAAGTAATTAAGTCTTCATGGCACTCTGAATTTAGATCAATAGAAAGTAAATATTTTTCCATAAATGATTCCCTTCCCTAATGATTAATACTACTCTCTTCATTCCATTGAGTCTGTGTATCTTATAGTTATCCATAATTCTCCCTCTATATTACTTGTTTGAAAACTTCTGACTTTGTGGAACTCTTCATAAGTATTCTTAAACTCTTGGCAGTAACTATAAGGCACAATAATTTTCACTAACAGATAGCTGTTTTTTTTCCTTTTAGAACTGACTACTTATTTTTGAGACCACAAAAATGAAGACTATAGTTTCAAAGTGCAACAGAATTTTCTAGACATAATAGTGTTTGAAAGTTCAAAATGTCAGTAAAGTTATATGAATAATCTGGAGGATTCAATTATTCGAAACAGGTTTACCAGGTTACTTAGAAAAGACCTTCCGGTGTTTACTATAGCTGCCAATTCTGATAAAGTCTGAACAGTGAACAATTCTGTAAAAACAAGGTAGGATGCAAGGCAGAAATAAGGAAAAGGCAGGTTGGTTATTCAGCCTTTGGATCCACACTTAGTTACACTGTTGCATACAGTAAATTCAATATTTCCAATTAGGGCTTCAATTACCCTTCCCTGTGATGGCCTTTACTTCTCTTCTGGAACAATGTGCTTCCATTACCACATCGTGATTTCCATATTGCTCTTAATGTTATCATTGCTTATCTATAATCTACCTCTAAAATTTTCAACTTCAAAAGCTCACTTCTGACTACATTTTTTTCCATCTCTGCAACTCCCTCTTCATACTTCATATACCACTCATCTTCAACATAACTTAGACCTTCTAGTTCCAGAAACACTAAAATTTTGCCTCAATCTGTTCGTAAATTCATCTTTAACTCTTAGAAATCTGTTCTGAATCACATATGTAGAAATTGTTAAATTTTGTGCATGCTTTGTTGTGTTAACTATTGTAAAGAAATTGAAAGGGGGAAAAGAAAAAAATCTAACATAAGTCATATGACCTATTGTTTCCACCTTTTCAGGCAGCACTGTCATTCCCCACCTCCCCCTTTTTTGGTAGCACAGTACATAGAATGCACTACTAACTGAAAAGATTTAGTGTTAGAATCCATCAGTCACTACACAGGAGAAAGCAGGTCTTCTGCATTACGATTCACAGTCCTACAACTCAGATGGAGGTCTGCTACACGGTGGAATTCACTCAATAGCTTTGAGTTGTCTGGCTTTACTTTTGTTTTGCCTGTTACTCCAGTTTACAGAGTTTAGGAAGTTTTTCAAGAGAATTCGATCTCTGGGAGTAAATTGGAGTTGAATAGAGTGAAGGAGCTCTGTGGCATAGTCCATGGGCAGTTGCTTTGCTAACCCAAAGACCATCCCTCTCTAATGGCTAGACTAAACCACAGCCTCCACAACAGAAATATCGGCAATACCCTCCTGTGAGATTTACAACCTGGCATAACCCAGTGGGGGGAGTCAGCTATGAGTCAGGCCTGACTCAATGGCAATGGAGGCGGAGTAAGGGAACAAGGATGTGGAAGTGGTGTTAGGAAAGAAAAGTGTTTTCAGAAGAAAGATTTGAGGTCAGAAGTAACTCTGCTCGAGACAGTCAATGAGCAGAGAGCCAAAATAAGACAGCTTCTGGGGGTGGAATTAAACAGGTGTGGTGGGCAGGGTTCTCAGAAATCAGATTAAGTCATCGAGATGGTTTTCTTCAGAAAAACTGGAATCACTAAAAAAAATTTTAAAAATAATATTGTGTTTAGAGTTTTATTTTCAGTTTATCTATTTTGACTTCTTAATTTGAACTTCTAATTATGATAAATTTTCTATAAAACAGATTTAATTCTTTAGAAGAAAACTACTAATTCAAATTATTTAATGTGCCTTCCCATTCCCACTTGAAATCAAGGTCTCTAAAGACACTATTATTTTGAAAGAATAGTATTGCGTACCCTGTCTCCTCTGGAAATGCAGAAATGGTGCTTCCATCGATCTGAACGGAGTCCTGAGAAGGGGAGTCAGAATCTTTTCTATCTTGATTTGTAGCAACATTAGCTACTCGATTTTGTTGCAAATCCCATTTTCGAGCTATGTTGTTAATTGTTAATCGTTTCTTCTCCTATGAAAAAGTTAATTTTGATAAGAAGTAAATAATGTGATTTTTGCAGCAGAATAGTCAAGCAGTGTATTGTTTGTACCTTCTTTTAAATGATGTTATGAAATGCTAAAATAAAATACAAGAAGGCATTACTCTGTACATTTAAATAACTCACTAAAGTCTATCATTCTGAACGAAAAGAGGAATATATTATACAAATAATACTTATTCTTTAAAACTCAAACTCAAACTTGTTGCGATCACGTCAGTTCTGATGCATAGTGACTGCCGAGTGGATTTCTGTGACTGTAAATCAGAGCTGTAGGACACTGCCCATCTTTCTTCCTCAGAGCAGCTAGTGGATTTGAACTGCCAGACTTGTTGCCTTTTAGTGAGAGGCAATACCCACAGACTATCCCACCAGATCTACTTTTAAGAACTTAATTTTTTAAAAAGTGTAAAAAAAAGACTTTAACTTTATTTAAAAATAATCCTTTAAAAAGTCATCATCTGAGAGTTTAATTTTATATTTCAATGCATCAGTGTTGCCTGAAAATGTAATTTTGCATGAATTGACCTACTTTTTAATTTAAATATAACAAGGAAAGGTGACTCATAATTTAATGGTCCTGCATGATAACAGGACTAATCTGTTGGCATAGCCTCCATATGTGTTTGGGAGTACTTGATCAATGTGGCAAATATACTCTGTACTGTCTGAAAACTAATAATTATATAGATGATTTCTACCAACTTTTACAGTCGGAGATAGATCGAACATGCAATCAAGATGCATTGATAATAATGGGTGACTGGAATGCAAAAGT